TTCGTGCATAACTTCACTCAATCCTCACCACAGTGCCATAACTAAGGATCTTACTCCCCATTTTACAGGTGACCAAACTGAGGCTCAGAGATCATGTGATTTGCCCAAGGTGCAGAATGGAAGAGGATGAACAGCGGAGCAGAGGCCACAAGCCTCCGTTTGCAGATTCCTCTTCTCACTCTTCCCTGCTGCACCTGACTCAGGCTCTGTGTGAGTGAGGGAATTAGGTCCATGGGCACTGGGAGGTCGCCATAGAATATTTTACCTGGGACCCTTATTGGGTTCTTAGCTCCTCACCATCATTCCCAACCAGGTGTAAAAGGTCCAACATTCTTGCTTCCACCCAGACAGACAGACGCGCAGGCAGATGGAAGGCAAACAAGACACAGCTGAGAGAGCACAGGGACCAGTCTGGGCAAGAAAGTCCTCAGCCATATGGCCCAGGGGAGGCCAGGGGCCTCTCTGCCTGGGCTGGAGAGTGGGCCACACCCCCAGAGCAGGCAGCCAAATCACCCAGGCCTCGGCCACCCACAGATCACTGCCTGCCCAGATCCCCTCTAAGAGGAACATCCAACAGCAAACCTCCTTTCAGCTTCACCTCTGTACCCTGCTGTCCAAAGGTACCCCCACTCCCAGCCCCTCAAGCCTCCAATTGTTGTCAGGGGCTTCTTGTTTTTCCTCCCCTGGGACAACCCAAGGAGAGAAACACAGGGCAGAAGAGCCAGTGGCTGCTGCTACAGGAAACACATCTCTGTTAGCAACACCTCTTCAGTACAGGCCCAGAATTTTCCACAACACCAATAGGTTCATTTTTGAAGGAAGCAGACTCTTTGACATTCACTCCGCCAACTTTACATCCCTCTGAGCCTCTGGTTTCACCCACCTCCTTCTGACACCACGCAGGTCATCACCTAGGGAAGGAGGGATATCATGGGCCCTCCCTCAGCCCCATTTTCCCATCTGTAAAATGAAGGGGGAGAAGCATGAAGAGGGAGCGAGTGGGGCCCACTCAGGGGATTTTTTTTAAAATGTGCTTTTGTTTTTGGCAGACATACATCACTTTGAGGGGGAGGTGTTTGTTTGTATTTCAGGCAGCCTTCTGGAGAAAGCAGGAATCTGTGAATGACTTAATACAAACCCAAATAGACATCCAAACTCCAGAAGGAAAGTTCTTCTGAAATACAAGGTACTGCACCTACGCACCAGAATCATTCACTTCATATGCAAATGTTCCTTCCCAAGTACTACCTCACCAGAGTCAACTTACACTGGCATTTCTACATGCGGCCTTCAATTAATGCTCATCAAGATGATCACTTGCTGCAGTCATAAGTTCAATGGTTTCCCAGGGATGGAACTTTCAAAGCACCAGCGCTTCTGGATGTGGCACATGTTCAGTCTCATAGACTTGTTTCCAAGACCTCTTGACCACATACCCATTTCATGACCTGAGAAAATTATATAAAGAGGATGCAAAACCATTTGCCCTGGGACAGGGAAGCCTGGGACTGAGGGAACACGGTGAGAGGCAGATTAAGCTTGTTTCTTCTAACTGATCTTCCTCCAGGGAGCAGCAACTCTGTCCCACCTGCACCAATGGTCCCATCTCTTTCTGGTTTTGCTCCAGCCTGGCTGGTTAAGCAGAACTGACAAACTCCCAGATCTCTCTGCTGCAGAATGATGGATTCGTCCCAAGGCTCCAACAGAAATAAAGTCCACTGTGGCAGGCGGCATGATGTGTGGGACAAACCTCAGGCTGAGGGGTCAGGGCAGATGTGGTTTAAACCTAACTCTGCCACCTCCCAGCTGTATGTCTTCTGGCAAATTACTTCCTCTGGAGTCTTGAGAGTTTATTCTCCTAAAACAAGGGTCATAACAGCTACCTTTTAGAGCTGCTGAAACGATGCTGGTGGGAGTAGAAGCTGTCTTGTCACAAGGCAATTGAGTAATACGTTTTAAAGTTCCTAAAAATGTTCATACTCTTGGACTAAGCAATTAAGCTTCTAAAAGGTTATCTTTAAAAAGTACTCATGGATGGCCCAGCGCGGTGGCTCACACCTGTAATCCCAGCACTTTGGGAGGCCAAGGCAAGCGGATCACTGGAGGTTAGGAGTTCAAGACCAGCCTGACCAACACAGTAAAACCCCATCTCCACTAAAAATACAAAAATTAGCTGGGCATGGTGGTGGGCACCTGTAATTCCAGCTACTCAGGAGGCTGAGGAGGAGAATTGCTTGAACCTGGTAGGCAGAGGTTGTGGGGAGCCGAGACTGCACCACTGCACTCCGACCTGGGCAAGTTTTTATTTATTTATTTATTTATTTGAGACAGAGCATGACTCTCTCAAATAAATAAATAAATAAAAAACTTTTTAAAATAAAAGGACTCATGCATATACCCAAAGATTTCATTTTTTAATCACTGTTTATTATGGTGACAATTAAAAGTAACCTAAATAGCCAACAATAGGAAGTTGATTTTTAAAATATATATAGCATGAGACAAAACTAATCAGGTTTTTTTTAAGTAACATATTTTTCAAACATTATTTTATTTTGTAAAAAAAAATGCACGTGTTGGAAGTATATAGAAGAAATATTAATATTTAGCATTGGATGATAAAATGACAGTCGATTCTCTTTCTTCCATTTTTATTATTGTATTTTCTTCTAAACTTGCCTAAAATTTCTTAAATGTCTCTCTAGCACTTACTAATTTCTACTTTTTAAAATGGTTATATATGAACATATCACATCACTCCAAGAATACAAATTCCTTGAACACAGATTCTAAGTCTGATTTACCTTCATAAACTCCCCATGATATTCGCTTAGTGCCTTGAATAATTATAATTACTATTTATTGAATGTTTGCCATGTGGCAGGCATTGTGCTAAGTTGTTACTCTTAATACAAAAAATTGAATAAATGTTTGTGGAAAGGGGGAGGGGAAGCAGAATTTGAAAGAAGCGAATGAATACATTCTCAATAATCTTAAATAAGCTGGCAGCTATCTCTCACCTGGAATCGATCAGCTCATTCTTAGGGTCTCTTCTGACACCAGACCATACCAATCTACTAGACCATCTCTTCTAACAGGGAGGGAAAATATCAGGTGGAGGAGGACTGCAGTATGATCCTGGATTTTAGAAAGCCACACTTTGGAGGATAAGATCTCATGAGAACACCCAGGTATAACTTTTGAGAATTTTCTTACCAGAGTCAAGAAAACCAATTTAACATGACAATGACCTATTAATGAAACACTTTTGATTTTGGCAACCTTTAATTCATTTCTACAAACACTCCACCTACCAACACCATTTGAGAAGGAAAGATAAATAAGCAGTCTCATCCTTAAGAAATTTTTAATGCAATGAGGACTACCAACAGGTGCCTAAATCACTGATTCAAGGCAGGGTGTGAGCTCCAACAGAGAACTCCGGGATGGAGGGGGTGCCAAGGGAGAAATTCTTTCTGATGGGGAAGGAGAGTGGAGGAAGTGGAAAGTGAGAGCCGGGATTTGAAGCACAGACAAGATTTCTCAATGCTGAGTTGGGAGAATGGCATTCCTGCCTGCGGGAACAGACTGGGCAAAGACTCAGAGGAGTGGGATTTGGTGCGTTTGGAGAAGGGCAAGTGTTCGCTCCATGCCCCAGAAACTTTGGGCTAATTCATTAAGAACAAAAGTGGCCCTGAGATGAGCTCCTTTTCTTGGTCTCTTCTTGCCCCTGGTATTTTCTCAATAACCATCCAAGCAGACACAGCCCACAAAAAGCAAAATAATCTACCCCCTCATTTTCAAAGGCTTTGGAATTCCGTTCAGATTAAGGCCACAGTAAACTTGAGTACTTCCAAAAGTAGAAGTCCGGGCAGCTCCTGCCTCTGTCCTGCTATTCTGCAAAGACTGACATCCAAAGAGCAGGCCTCCAGGAACTTGGGTTTTACTCACCTCCAAGGAAGATGTGGAGGCAATCCCTGACAAGTTGTTTCAAAACAGTCACAACATGGGGCAGAAGGCAGAAGTATCAAGAACCCAGCTCTTCAAATGCTAGACCTCCAGAGGGTCAACCCTGTGGTCCTGCTGCTCCCTGAGGGACCCCTCAACTCCCACCTTGTCCCCCTCTTCGTGAAGGGCTTGAGGAGGAAAGAAAGCAGGGGCCACTGGGAATCCCAAGGGCAGGAGCGGGAAACCGCACCTGCAGCTCAGAAACACCACAGCTTTTTCTCAAATACTTTCGGTAGCAGGACATATGATCACCCCTCCCTGCGTCCTCTCTGAGACTGAATTGGCCTCTTTTTCTGCTTTATATTTTCTGAATCTCTCTGTTCTCTTCTCTCTCTTCATGTGTTCCTTTTCCTTTGTTTCAACTTTTATAGAAACTATTGTTCACTCTCCCTCTCTCTCCCACCCTCTCTCCCTTCGATTCTCTCGGTCTCTGCCTCTCTCCGCCTCTCCTCTCTGGTTTCTGCCACTGTCTCCACATCCCTGTCTCTCCAATAGTCTGTCTCGGCGTCCGTCTCTGTATCTCTGGGATCTAGGTGTTTCTATCAGTGTCTCCGTGTCAGATGTTCCTGCCGCTCTGTCTGCCTCCCATGTCCACCTGTTCCTGTCGCTGTCTCCCTCTCTGTGCATTCCTATTTCCTCTCTCCATCGCGGCGTCTCCAGCCCTGTTCTACCCCTCCTTTCCACCGGCCTGCGTTATTAAAATCGCAGCCAGGAAACCGAGCAGTTCGGGGAGGTGCGATGCTGAAAACCAGCTTCCCCGAGACGCCGGGTGGGAGCCCGCGAAGGGTGCGGCGGGGACAGCCCAGGGCGCGGCTTCTGTCCCGACCCAGTACAGACCCCGTCGCCGCTCCCGGGGGCTCCCGCCTGGCCAGCACCCCCCGGCTCCAGCCCAACCCCTGAGCTCCCCCTGCCCGCTTAGAAAGGAGTTCTGGCCGCCACCCGAGAGGGTGTTAGCCCGAGCCAGGAGTCGGAGGGCGGTGGAAAGTTCTCACCGATGGTGAAGCTGTAGCCGTCGATGCTGAAAGTGGCGCTCCGGCATTTTTTGAAGCCCTCCTTCCTGCTGCTGGAGTCCGTCATGGCTCGGCCGGCCGGGCAGGGGCCTCGCTGCGCGGCCAGCGGCGTTCGGGGTGCCCCCGCGGCGGAGCGCGCAGCCCGGGGCTCGGCGGCGAATCCTCCCCCGGCCGCGCCGTGCTATCACTCTCAGCCCGGCAGCGCGCTGGAGACAGGCGCTGGGACCCAACGTCAACCGCTACAGCCCTAGGCGCTCGGCGGAGACGGGAGCCCTCGCGACTGCCCCATCTCCGAGCCGAGTTCCTGAAGCGGCGGGAGGAGTGTTAGGAAGGGAGGTCGCGCGCCCGAGCGCGTGGACTGGGCGGGGAGGTGGGCGTCGAGATCCCCGCCTGGCCACGCTGCTCTCCGCCGACCGCGGAGCCCGCGCGCCCCAGGCACGTCTGTTTTCCGCTTCAGCTTCTCCTTGCTTCTCTGGAGGCTGGGGGGATCTGGGGACACAAGGGAATGGCTGAATTGGCGTCGTGCGTCTTCTGGATATGTTTTTTCTCTGGCAGGCCGGGGAGCTTCCAGAAAGCACATCAACAGATGGAAACGCAAACCCCTTAGCCATCAAATGTTACCAAAGTTTACTCCAAACAAGGAAGTCGGGAAAAATCACCACGCCCACTTCCAGCCACTGTCCCCAGCACTGGCCTGGAGCCCATTGCCCCTGCCAGGAAAGTAACTGTCAAAGGCACCGGAGGGCCTAAGATGTGAAATGTACAATCGAATTAGAACTCGCCCCTTAGCATCCATTCCAAATAGCGTGTCACGTCCTTTCCAATTTGGGTTTGCTGAATGTGATAGACTCCTGGAATTTGCTGATGTGGAAGATATCTTACCAAGCCCACAGCTGATGCTCTTATTACAGGAGAAGAAACTGAGGCTGGGTGGGACTTAAGGAAAGTGCTACACAAGGAAGCGGAGGACTTTGGAGGCAGAAGTTTCTCTTTAGGACGATGCCAAGTTAGTCATTGGCCTTTCCAGTGCCTGAAATGACCGAGTCAGGCAAGGCTTATACTGGGAAAATTATTCCCACCGATCACAAGCAGTTATGGAGGATTTACATTTGCAGTCCTGTCGGGGGCTGCGGATGCCCAAGGGAAAAAAGACCAGAGTTGAGTCCCACAGAGGAGTCTACAGTATCACAGTGCAGAATGAGGGTTCTGTATAAGAATCAACCAGGTATATTCTAATTAATTAATTAGTTGACTTTAAAGGGTAATGGCTCCACATATCTTCAGAATCTAATGAAGATTAGAAACCTTTTCCCCCAAAAAAGCACACAGACACACGTGTACAGTATTCTACACACAACTTCGGGGGGGGGGGCCTATAAAACCCCCAAGCCTATTGGAACCCAGTTTAATGTGTGTCTCAGGAATCTTTTTCAATTTACCATATTTTTTGTGTGTGGTTTTCTTTTTAATTATCTTAAGTCTTATGATCACACATCATTTTTAAATTTCTGTGTATCTCCTCTACTTTAATCCTTTTAAGTTGGCAAAAGCACCATTCCCAATCACAAATACACAGCAGTTGTATAGTTTTGTTTCTGAATGGCTGTTTAAAGACAATCCTAAATTATAACTTAGTTTGACTTAGTAAAGAATCCAAGAGGGAAGTTTAATTGGCTACTATTTTAAAAGCATGTGACCTCATAGATCATCTATAAAATGTGTGAAGTGTTAAATAATTTTTGATATTACACATAAACCACACAAAATGCCTTTCAATAAGTAAAAGGAACCATTTTAAATAAGGGAATTCTCATTAGATTGGCATAGTTAAGGCCAAAAATATAAACTAGCCATTGCTACCCATTTATCTTCAACCCTTGCCTTTAAGAGGCAAATGAACACAAAACACAGGTGAATCTTGCTTGGTTCTGAGACAGTGAAGGAATTCCCCTCATATTTAAATATATTCACATAACCAGTTATATAAATCTAAATATAAAACCAGTCTCCAGTAAGTTTTAAGATGGCACTCACCATCTTTGCGAAAAATTTAGCATTACTAAGGAAGTCTAATCATATCTTTAGAAGGGGTAAACAGTGATAGAATTTACTAAATTGGAATTACTATTAAAATCCAAAAACTGAACATACTCATTTAACCACAAGCCAGTCTTAGTTTTAAATCAGGACTGCCCAACAAAATATTCTGTCAGTCATTCATGATGTAAATTCTGGCGTATGAGATCTATTAAAGTATGGTACACATAAAAAAGTCATGAGATATTTGTTTTGTAATAAATAAGGCAGTGGCCAATTATTACTCATTAGTAGCTTTTTTGAGATAAGCTATTAAGTTTTCCCTTTCTCCCTTTTTTTTTTTTTTTTTTTTGAGACGGAGTTTCGCTCTTGTTACCCAGACTGGAGTGCAATGGCGCAATCTCGGCTCACCGCAACCTCCGCCTCCTGGGCTCAGGCAATTCTCCTGCCTCAGCCTCCTGAGTAGCTGGGATTACAGGCACGCGCCACCATGCCCAGCTAGTTTTTTGTATTTTTAGTAGAGACGGGGTTTCACTATGTTGACCAGGATGGTCTCGATCTCTCGACCTCGTGATCCACCCGCCTCGGCCTCCCAAAGTGCTGGGATTACAGGCTTGAGCCACCGCGCCCGGCCCTCCCTTCTTCTTAATACCGACAAAGATCATTTTTGTTCCAGGGATATACTTCTTGGGATTCTCCAAATATTCCATCAGTGTATCCTCTCCCCAGATGATGCCTTTGTTCTTATTGGCTTCAGTGTAAGCGAATCCAGCGGCCTGACCTGTCTTCCGCCCAAAGAGACCATGGAGATTAGGTCCAGTCTTGTGCTTGCCTCCCTTTTCCACGGTGTGACATTGGGAACACTTCTGAATAAAAATCCTCTTGCTTTTCTCAACATCACCCATATTTAATTCTTTTTTGTTGTTAGCGCAACAAGGGTTACCACTCAGAAGTCGGACGTCCCACTCTCTTCACCATATATTTTTAAATAAATGGAATTATGTCAGTGTAGTTGACATTTCAATTATAAATGTTCTCAGGGAAGACCTAGAACCACACTCACGTGGATAGCCGGGTTGGGTTGGTAGCAACATTAATTAATCATAAAGTCAACAACCAACCATGTCATGAACCTCATGTCACATAGAATGGCATATTTCAGCATGCAATCAGGGGTGTTTCAAAAGCATCATGTAATCCCTGAGACTGTAATACCCATGCCTGGAACCTGTTGCAACATGGAGGCTGAAAAGAGCTCTCTGCTCACAGATAGACCTGGCTCTGAAAGCTGGCTCCACCACTCACCAGCTACATGGCCTTGACCTCCCTGAGTCTTACTTTCCTCCTCTGACAATGACAATTAAATAGGAGTAAGTGTATAAAACCTAGGCACTCAGTATGCAGCCACTTACTGCCATCACTAGCTCATTCCCAGATTTTATTAGGTAGACTCCACAGAAAATTATTCTCGTGACAACATATTTTAGTTATTGTTTCCACCATTAATTTTATAAGTGAAAATAATTTTTATATGTAACATATTATATATATCACATGTAATATAATGTGGTTTTGGGTTTTTTTTTGTTGTTTGTTTGGTTCGTTATTTTTGAGACAGGGTCTCGCTCTGCTGCCCAGGCTAGAGTGCAGTGATGTGATCATGGCTCATTGTGGCCAACCTCCTGGGCTCAAGTGATCCTCCCACCTCTGCCTCCCAAGTAGTAGGGTTTATAGATACATGCCACCACACACAACTGCTTTAAAAAAAAAAGATAGTAGAGGCAAAGTCTCACTATGTTGCCTAGGCTTGTCTTAAACACCTGAAATCAAGTCATCCTCTGCCTTGGTCTCCCAAGACATTGGGATTACAGGGATGAGATACATGACTGACCTTAATATTATGTATTTTAATATACTTTTAATACAGTAACCACCAAAGGTTTCTTATAGTTCACCTGTCCTGTATCTCTCTCACCTTCCCAAGCTTTTAAGTGAAGCACATGTCTTTTTGTGCCAAAATAAGTCCTCAGCTGAGGAACCCGAAAGCCCTGAGTATCCTGTAGTAAATTATCAAAAAAAAAAAAAAAAAAAAAAAAAAGAAAGAAAGAAAGAAAGAAAGAAAGAAAGAAAGAAAGAAAGAAAGGAAAAAAGGTCTGTTGCAATGGAAATTTTTCCTTGCATAAGTGAGTGAAATTAAAACTCGGTATTTAATCACTCTCAACAGAAAAGCTTCTTGAAATATAACCTATAAAAATAATAACAATGTGATCATTTATCTGTCCCCTAAAGTCTGGTAAAAATAACTTGCCTGAATAATTAGAACTGTTTTTAAACTGCTTCTCCCCAGAATCATTATCTCTCTCCCTGGTTTTAGAGATTGTACACCTACAGAACCACTAAAAGCTTCAAGTGCAAACGCTTAAAGAAGCCTTTCAGACTTTGGGTTCTCACACCAAGCCAAGTGAAGTTGAATGCTAACATTACCTTACATAAGAAAGAATGAGTTCAGACTGAGAGCAAAGGAAGCACTGCTTTTGTTTGCTCTTTGAGAAATGCTCACTCAAGAAAGCCTGGAAGTAAGAAAACTAAACCAAGACAGACAAGCAGATGTGTCAATCATCTGCTCTGGTAGTTGAAGCAGGATTTGACAAATTAATGTCTGCAGGCGAAATCTGACCCATCACCTGTTTTTGTGGCGTCTGCAAGCTAAAAATAGATTGTATATTGTGATGTGATTGAAAAAAAAATCAAAAGAAATAATATTCTGTGACACATTTAAACTACATGAAATTTGAATTTTAGTATCCGTAAGTAAAGTTTCATTGGAACATAGCTCTGCTCATTTCTTTCTATATTATCTGTGGCTGTTTTCACACTACAAAGGCATTGTTGAGTAGCTGTGCCAGGGACCATATGGCCTGCATAGCCAAAAATATTTACTATCTGGCCCTTTACATAAAATGCTTATTGACTCCTAAAATTATAGTAAGTACATTTTACATCTGCCAAGGTTTGGGTAACTTCTAGTTTTATTATATTTATTTTAAAATTTAAGTTTAAAAGGAATTTATCTTTTTTTAACTACTGGAATGGATTCTAACATGGGAGAACTAAGAGAGAATTCTGACAAAGAAGGGACAGAAAGAGAGAAGAAGGCCCCTAATAATTGTTTGATCTAGTCATTAGCCAAGGCTAATTAGGTTAAAATTAATTTCTTCTGAGAAGTAATGTATGACCCTGGCTTCACTGCAAGAAAGTAGAGGAAGAGCTGAACTCGATACCTAGATCAGTTCGTAGGATCAAATAATGTCCTTCAAATTTAACAACTGTATATGACACAATATAAAAAAAATCTGGCAGGATGATCCTCTGGCTCCAGTGCTAATATCAAGTCTTTTGATTCACTCTGTGGATCTGATGGTGGGTTCTACTACATATTTCTATATAAGAGAAAGGATATTAATGGCAAGTTCTTGTTGCTCATTGATTTCTCGCTTTTAAAGTTCTAGAAAAATATAAGACAACATATAGAGAATGTATCAAAAAGTGAACTTTCTAATGAAACACCTTTTTATTTTTCATACTAGAGAGAAGACAGCCCCTTAGCATT